CGTCTGATTGGTCAATTTTGAAACAATAGTTTTTTTAAACTTGAAATCTCGCATTAATCGATCACTGCAGCATGGTCAACGACGCCAAGGTACACATGCATGCATGCCTCCGCTCTGCGTCAGGGCAATGACTTCAAGCTCGCAGAAGACGGAGCATCCGCGCAGCGCAGCCGCGCAAGATGCATCGAGCGAGCCAATGTACTCCCCGGCCGAGGCCGCGAAGGCGACGACGTCCTCGGCACCCGCCCCGGCGGCGGTACGACAAGAGCAAGCCATACCGACGCCGATGCTGTGTACATGTAGGCGCAAGCGGTGCCGGCGGCTGCCCAAGCGGCTACGTCGGACCAGGTCAGCGTCGATGCTGCAACAGGACGTGCCATCAACATGGACCGTATCGACTCGTCGTCCGACGCGAAACCCTCGGCGTGGTTTCCGGCGCCGGACCTTACGTCCAACTTCCTCGACGACGAAGAAGCCTTTGACAAGGCCATGCGTCACAACATCAAGTTTACCATGGCCGACGCCCGCGAGATCTGCGGCGAGCTCCAGCCCCCAGACTTTCGCGGTACAGATCACTACACCGTACAACGTCCTATTTCCTCGTGCTGTCGTAGAGGCCCTTGGACCACTCGCTGACCTTCGCCGCAAGATTGGCACCGACTTCCAGTTCCGGATCCCTGGTCCACCGGTCGATGAAAACGATGGCATTACGCCCGGCGCTCCGTCGCAGCAAGAGTAGGGCCGCGCCCTTCGTCTACTCGTCGTCAATCTCAACTCTAAATTAAGGCTCAATCTCAACTCCAAATCAAAGCTCATTATGATGCGAGCAATCTACAACTTGTCTTCATCAACGTAACTTGAATGTAAGCTGTCATGTTAATCTTTGAGTCGTTGGCTTGCGAGTCATTGCCTCAAGCTGCTACGACTACGGCAGGATCGCGCCACGGACTTGTTGCTCCATCATATCCCTGCTTTAGAGGAGAAAACCCCTCGACTCTACTGCCCATCATGGTGTTTCAGTGTAACATCTATCGCAATGAGCAGAAAGAGAAACAACCTTCACAAAGCCTTGTGAATTGGTCGTCTCGTTCCCGACGTTGCCCGAGACGGGTACAATTGTAGGGACTTGGCGACGTGGCTGTGTCTTCGCCTTGTCGTCATGAACAAAGCGCCATTCGGGGGCTCTTGCATCACCTGCGTCGTCGGGTCGTTGGGAGCGCGTCGTTGTGGCACACACGGACGACGCCAAGCACCGGTTCTCTTCTTCCCGTTGGAGACCGAGGCCTTAAACAAGTAGCCTTGTCCAAGGTAAAAGATGCACCCTGTACCTGTACACGCTGCAATCCTCAACAAGAGGTCGCATGATTCGTTCGGCCAGCTGCCTGGCCGCAAGCATCCGTGCAGCGGCGCCGTCTGCCTAGGTACAGCTCAAGTGCCGGCGCCTGTAGGTCTCGCATGGCAGCGTCATGGCCATGTACGAGCCGGAGCCGCTGCGTCGCTGGCTGGCGAGTGGTCTTTTGGAAGCCGGCGGCGTCGTTGCGCCGAGTGAGACGCCCAACCACGCGCTCTTCAACGGTGGGTCCCAAATAGGTGGGTCCAAGCGTCATCTCTCTGCACATGCCTTTCCTGCAGATCGCGCTCCTGGCGACAGCATCTGGATCTGGCCACTGCCCCATGTACCTCGACGCGCCGCAGCCCAGCCGTAGCATCGTGTGGAAACAAGGGCCGATCCAATGCAGCCATCGAACAGTACCGTACAATGTAGATCGATGTATACTACGTAGTAGCTCATAGCACTGGGACGTTCTAGAGTAAGAAGCGACCTCTGACCTGACGATTTCTCTTCTCGACGCAGTGATTTTGCAGTGCACCAGACCAAGTGATTGTCCTCGCGTCTACCTACAACCAGACGAGTTAAACGGTTATAAACATATATACGCGAAGGCATTTCGCCGGGTCTCTATAGATAAGCATATCGTGGTCGCTATTAGGTGCTGGCGCAAGACTTCGTTTCGTCGCAATGGGCGTGCTCGACGGCTCCTTGGCGATTTTGCCTTTCGGACTGCCACGTCATTAGTGTTGCGTGCAGCTAGCCTTAGTCGTTTTGTGTGTTGACTGGCCTGCCGCTGGGATTTGTTGAACTTGTTTAGTTAGTCGTCTTTCGCCTCGGAAGGATACCGCACATTCGTCCGGATACATTCGGGCACCGACGTCGGCGATGCAGACAACGGTCCTCGTGGTCATGTGGAGCCTTCTTACCGCCTCGGCCATGGCGGCGTGGAACGCGCTGGAGCAAGCGAGCTTGGCGGCGTGCCCCTGCGCGGAGGCGTCGCTGTGCTTGCCGGTCGTTTCCAGCCGCCGCTTTGAGGTGTTTGCGTTCTCGCCGGCTGCGAGCGACAACTGGCGCTACTACGACTACTCGGTGCTGACGACGATCGCGTGGAACCTCGATAAAGGCTTGCTCTGCCACGCGCACGCCCATCGCGTCAAGATCGTCGTGCTGCACAACTTCGAGCACGTCGACCAGCTCTGCAATGCGAGTGCGCGCGAGGCGTGGGTGCACGCCACGTACACGGCCATCGTGACCAACTACGCCGACGGCGTCAACGTCGACACAGAAGCTGCAATCACACGCCACGACCACGCCGCCTGCTTGACGCTGCTACTGCAAGAGCTGCGCGTCGAGTTGCAGGCGCACGCGTTCACGCGCCATGCCCAGGTCCTTCCTCCTCTCCGTCCCGTCCTCTCATCCAGCCGTGAACCAGATCACATTTGATGTTGCGTGGTCGCCGAGTGGCATCGACCAGCGCTACTACGACTATGCGGGCCTCGCCGCCGCCGCCGACTATGTCTTTGTCATGGCGGTATCGCGATGATCTCTCATCGTCCAAGCAAGTGATGCATCTCCACGTAGTACGACATGCGCAGCCAGCTCTACGACCATTGCCTCGCCGGTGCCAACAGTCCAATCGCGCAAGTCCAGCGCGGCCTTGACGACTACGTCTATGGTGCCAAGGTG